ATCCTATTTTCATTTTAACTTCCAAAATTTTGAATTTTAAATTTTCGATTCATATCAATATTTTACTCTTCAAATGTTTTATTTATTACACTTTAATTTCTAAAATTTCAAATTGTCCAATAATTTTAATTTTTCATTGCATATTTAAACAATTTCAATGTTCTAACTTGATATCATATTTTAAATCCACTTCAATTCCAGAATTGTAAATTTTCAATAAAATTTCTAATTTATATCTAAACTTTTAACATGTTTCAATATCTAAAGCTTTATTTATAAATCATATACTATTTATTTATATTATACTATTTATATTATATTAATATATTTATAAACTATAATTATAATACTTACATTTTCATATATTCAGCAATATTTATACTTGGTATTATATTTCAATTCACTTCAAAATTGATAATTTTTGAAATTTAGAAATTATAAATTTTGAATTTATAATTTATTTTAATAGTGTAATTCATCATAAATGCACTATTTATCTCTATTTTCAAAATTTTAAATTCTTTCATAATTTCTATTCCCATATTTTCATATTTATATAATTAACATCTATGCTTGATATTATATTTTTAATTCACTTTAATTCTAAATTTTCATATAATATTCACATAGCTAAATTTAATGTTCTAGTTTGGTAATTACATTTCTAATTCATTTTAGCTTTCAAAACTCTAAATTTTCCATTCATTTCTACCTTCAAACTTCATTTCAATATTTAGCTCTTCAAATTCACCTCTATTACCAAAACTTCAAACTCTCTTATAATTTCAATTCCCATATTCCCATATACTCCCAACAGATTTTAATATTCTAGCTTGGCATCATATTTCCAATCAATTTCAATTTCTAAGTTTCTAACTTATTTGAATATCAAATTCTTCAAATGCCTTATTCATCTTAATCCAAAATTTCGAACCCCCACGTAACTTTTAACTTTTAACTTTCAACTCGGTTTCCAATAATTGATGTTATATTTCTAATCTATTTCAATTTTCTAATTTTTCATTAGACTTTTACCTCGAGTATAAAAAATATAATCTAAAAAATGTTTATAAACAAAGTTACATTCAAAATTCGAAAAAATCTTGAAACTTCAAAAGAAAAATATTTTATATATATAATTCATAATCCTCTATAGGTAAAGTTTCATTAAAATAAAAATTATTGCATTATATAAATAAATTTCTTGAGATGATTTTAAACAAGTTTTTCTTTTACAAAAATTTTCATTTCTAATTATTAATAAAAATAATACAAATTACATAGATTTATCACGATTTGTGTTGAATATGAACCATTAGCGAATCGTCGAACTCGACACATGTTATTTCGATTGTTCGTTCAAGTACACGCTCTATGATTGGCCAACATTTTTCGCTAATAACTCGTTAACAAAGCCAAAACGAAAATTTCCGCAAAGGAAAAAGTTGCTTGAAATCATCTCAGGAATCGATTAAGCCTTATTAATCGACTTTTTGAGTTGTATTTTCAATATTCATATCAATTTCCAATTTTTCCTCGCTCTGAAGCCTTAAAATCCCAGAATCGTTTCAGAATCGAGATTTGAAACGATAAAATCGAGTTTATACCGCGAAGTATCACATGTTTCCAACTTTCAACCACGAACAGGATAGGAAAGCACGACGGAAAATCACAAACGGTCGTGATCACGAACGCTTTGGAAATCCGTCCAAAACGAGTCAAACGGTCTCGAACGATTTCGAACCGGAAGTTTCTCTCTCGCACGACTTCTACATCAAAGCGCATTCGAGAGAAAGTCGGACGCCGATATACCAGGGCACGTGTGAGAAAAGGATGCCACATCCTCTGCCCTTGTACCCGAAACGAGCTCCTCTCACGAACTTGTCGATAACAGTTTGGCACCCCTCGGGCCTTTCCACCTTCGCGCCACGAGCACCATGCTTCGAGAATTCAATTATCCCGTCGCAGCAACGACTTCGGTAAAGGTAATGCGAGATGAACGAGACGACGGCCATCTTGCTGGCAGGGATCCCATGTTTCTTGCCCCTGTGTCCTTGGCTCGATTATGATTTCAAATTTATACAAGGAGGGAGCAAATTTGTTTTTGAGGATTTTTACTTTTATTCGTTTTTTATGTTGTTTATCAATGCTTTTACATTCAATGTTTTTGAGCGTATAAGAGAGATAAATAGCGATACGTATTCTCTAGATTTTTATATATTCAAATTTTTCGTGGATGCATAAATATTCTCGATGTAATTTGTCATAAATAATTGGTAAAAAATATTTGTCACCTCATTTCTAAAAAGAACTTAATCTTCGAAGGATTATATATTAAATTTTATAGTGATAGAATTTTCAACAATTTACCAATTTATTTCAACGTAAGAATCAATAAATGGAAATAATTTATAATATATTGTATAATATTTGTTATCATTTCTAGAAAGAATTTGATCCTTAAAGAATTGTATATTAAATTTTATAACGATAATAAGGGAAATTTTCAGCACTTATCAATTTATTTCAATATAAGAATAAACGAATGAAAATAATTTATAATCTATTAGAGTGAATATTAAAAAAATATTAAAGATTCGTAACTATGTTATATTAAATGTTTCGTATTTACTAAAAATTCTCATCAAAGTGAAATATTATATTTATTTTGTTCTGTTAAAAATGCATTATTGTGTAATTATGAGGATGAATGAGGAAAGTTATTTGACTATTATAAAGAAAGATCGTGTCTCAAAAAAGATTGGAAAATATCTGGTTGTAAAAGTAATTTATGTTCCACGTTTTTATAAATTAAATTTAAATACAGGCAATTTTCATATAATTTAATGGTAAAATTCTATGAAAACTACTTCGCGTTTATTATTATTATTATAAATGTGAATTTATATTTCGTAATGATTATTTTAAATAAATTTATTTATCAAATAAATTTCATTTATAATTCAAAATATAAATTATAGAACAAACTTGTTAAAATTATTATATATATAATAAAATAAAAAATTCTAACAATTGTTCAATCAACAATTACATTGTATTAAATATCTGAAGTGTTTTATATAATTGAATTAAAATTATTGATGAAATTTTATAAAAATAAATATAATAGAAGCAATAAATTTTAAATGAAACAAACAAAAATTTATTAGAAAATTTTACAAATTATAAATCATTTGATTATTATATTTCGTATAAAATCGTGGAAGAAAATTTCATATAGGAGTAACTGCATCGAGATATTAATATCGTTACAGTATCTATTGAAAATCTCAGAATGGGCTATTATAAATCATTATTCGACAAAAGCCTGTATAAACTTTATTAATTAAACGAGCACAACATTTTGAGTGAAATTCATTGATCTATAAGTGTTTGAAATTATTTATAACTGTTTAAACTTTCAGTAAAGTTTTCCTTTATTAAACATTCATAAGACTTTGTAGTTAGTATCGAGTTTTTCGTGGTAACCTTTGACTAACAAACTCGATAGATATGGTTGATTAAAGCGGTTTGATCGATTTTATGAGAAATTAATAAATATTTTTCACAATTAGAGGATAAAGAAAATTTTTTCAAATTTTTCAAAAGAAAATTAATAATCTCATAAGTTTTAATATATAATAATTTGATAAATTAAAATCATTTTTTATTTTTCTTTAAAAACCCAAAATAATAACTTTAATATATAAAGTTATGGAAAATAAATATAAGTTTAATATGCTTAAATATTATTACTTATTTTAATTCAATTCGATGATTTGAATCACTATAAAATATAAAGAGACACCTGTGACTTCGCATAAAGGAAGAAGACTTATTGCCTTACAGCGAATTAATCAGCGATGGCTTACATCGAAACAAAAAAATATCTCTATTACTTTAAATGAAAATATTTTTTAAAAAGACAAAAAAAATTATTTTCTTATCATATATATTTGTAATATTTTTTAGATAATAATTTTTCTTAATTCTTTAATTCTTTTTGGATATTATATCTAAAGATTATTATATCTAAAGATAATATACAATAATTCATTTCCTAAATTAAAACGAATATAAAATATGTAATATTTTAATATTATAAAAATTAATTATTTTGAAGTTAAGAAACGAAAGAATAACAATTTGTAAAATTAAAATTACGAAATGTTTCAGATAATCTCATGATTCTCGATATAACGCTATATATGATAAAAAAGAAGAATCACGATATTTTTTTTGCAATCATTTAGAAATTAAAAAAAATATAGGAAAATAATTAAAATCTCTTAATATTGGAAATTGGGACATTGGATTGAGGTTATTGTGAAGTTCATTTAAGGGTTGAAGAAGTTCCACAAATTTTTCGCTTGTTTGAATTCTTCTTACTTATAAAACAGTGTAAATTATTTTTAAATTTCAAAAAGTTTCTTCTTTCCTCTATTAATTTATGAGAATGAATTCGTAAAATTCACTTAAATCAAAGTAAAATATGGAAATATGATAAACTTCAATGAGAATTTAAAAAGCAATTTTTTTATTATTACAAACCTTATCATGAAATTTATAAAACTTATATATAATTTATTACATTTCATTATATTATATTACAAATAAAAGTAATGAGAAGAAGATAGTAACATTTATACGTAGAATTTCGCTTTTGCTTATACATTCTGTTTCTTCATTTTTTATATTTCTCATCTCTTTCGTATTGTACACATGCTACAACCATAACTCAAAAAAAAAATACAATTTTAAAAGAAAACAATTTCAAATAATTTGATCCGTTTTAAAAATATGTCATAATAAAATCAAATTAAAAAAATACAGGCAATAATATTTTTTTTTCTTCTTTTTTTCCATATCAATAAATCAAAAATTGTAAATTTTAAATTATGTTGGAACAAGTGTGCGATATGTACCTTTTATTCTTATATTCTTTTATTTATATCCATTGTACCAGATGACGTTATGAGGTTGTTTGTATTCTGTTTCAGCCCTCAATACTTTAAACCGCTTAAACAAAGAAGGTGAAGCACTTGCCCTCCAGGATGACCTCACAACGCACCCCACCTTGGCTTTGATGCGACGCATCCTCGCAGATGCACAGGTGAGTCCCACAATTACTTTCGATATTTCATACATTATATATTTTATACACAGTGAACGTAAAAAAAAATCTTCCAATATTTATACCTCCATACAATTATTAAAGAGTTATTTTTATATTAATAATAATTTCTTTTTAATGTTCAAATTACAAATTGCAATCAAAGAAAAACAAAAACAAATTTTTAACCAGCTATTTTAAATAATAATTTTTGAAGTTTAGTAATTATGATAATACACTTTTTAACTTGCGAAAAATTTTTTTATTCTATAAATATTAATATCTTTCATGTTTAATATATACTTTTAACTAAGGATTAAGAATTAAATATATTTATTTTTAATAGAATAATTTATATAATTCATATAATAATTTATTTTTAAAATATATATATATATATAAAACTATAAAATTAAAATCTTATTATAAATAATAAATAGATACTGTTAAATTAACCATAAAACCAATAATACGATGAATAATTAAATACCTATTCAAAATTTTCCCATTCACAAATTACAAATATTAATAAATTAAACTTCCAAGCATTCGATAACACACTTTCAACCGATGAAAGAATCAAATATCTTTACTCTTAATTAAACATTACATAAATATCAAAATTAATACCGATCATTTTCACGGTGAATTATTAACGAACCGTGGCTCTACTGTCCACTACGAATATTCAAATATTAATAAATCGGACCTCGAGTGTCCCTCCACATTCGTGAATATTACGAATATTAATTTTAATATGCATAAATCGAGCGGATCCCGATGATATTTTTCCCCGCGCTTTTAATAATCACTCGCGAAATCATCGAATCAATAATCCATCGGGGGTTGATATATGAAAAATTTATATAGGTATATCGGATACACTTCAACGCCGTTTCCGTTTAATTATCATCGACTCGTGTAACGAGTTCCATCGCGCGAAAATCGGGGGGGAAATTCGTCCGCGCGGAATCACACAGTTTATTTATCCTTTTATTATTGATTTAATTAAAACGGCCAATTCAACCCTTTCCTTCGATATATGCCCTGTCCAATTTGAATCGATCCGAGCCGAATATCTTGGAAATTATTAATGAAAAATATTCAAGAAAGTTTGAAAGAATATAAAATTTTGTTTTTTTTTTTTGTAATAAGAAAAAGTTTTTTAAATACATAAATCGACGTAGTTCACTTATAACAATCGACTAAATATTTAAACTATTATTGTGATATAACGTGTATAAAATCGATAATCTTAATATTGATCTAAGATAAAAAAAGATAAAATTGTAAATTCAAAATATTATAAATTAATCGTTTCGATAATGTAATAAACGAGGAAATCATTATAATACATTTAAAAAGATATGATTCTATTAAAAAACACTATGTTGGCCTTGTATATGTCTTCTATAATTTTATTTTAAAAAAAATCTCTTCCAAATGATATATATCCATTGAATGATTTATAACTCTGATTCAAATATTTGTAACATCTTATTTCATAAGAAGAGTGTAATATACTATTTGTTCCAATCCTCCAGAGTAATGAATTCGAACGGGAAAAACTGGTCGTAGAACATAGTAAGTCTTCTAGCACATACTTTGCAAGAAAAAGAAATATTTCCTTATAAATAAGAAATATATTTATGAATTACTTCTCTGACCGGACTTTATTTGATGTATTTTAAATCGTTTCGACGTCATTCGACTAATGCACATCGTTGGAACATTAGAACGAACATAAAAAAAAAAAAAGAAAAACAATATACATAATCAACATACATAAATCAAAACACATTATTCCATCAGACAATTCGAAATTTGTCCGAAAGAAAAGTTATAAATGATCAAAAAAAAAGACCAAATAGTAATAATTTCTAGATCTAATATTTCTCGATATTTCTCTAAAATCTTCCAACGGATCGATTTAAATGGAAACATATAAATTTTCATTTTACCCAAAATGAAATAAACCAACACGTCTCACGTACACGAATTCGTGAATTTTCCTCTCGTTTGTTTTCCTTTCCCTCCCTCTTCCCTTTCTTTCTTTTTTTTACCCCCCTTTCCCCATTTGACTCTCCAACGTTTTCACCCTCCCTCTTCTCTCCACTCTTGCTCACGGGCATTCGGCGGCGAATCGCATCCCGTGGCCGGGAAAAATGATAAAAATTGAAGGAAATGGCGGAAGCGAGGGCGCCGCAATTAAACGAAACGTCGCGGATCACATGCACCGTTGAACACGTTATCCGACGAATCTTGTCTGGCCATTATTGCGGTTAGTCCGAAATTAACACGATTAAACGGCCGACACGTGATTAGTAATTAGTTCCATTGGATTGTGGGATTGTGGGTTGTTGATGTTTCGATTCGGGAAGGGATGAATGCGTTGTTGCGTTCTTTGTTCGAAAATCAAATCAGGTCTCGGGCCATTGTTCGATCCGATTTGAACGGGTCATAGGATGTGGGATAGGATCTGTTAGGATCGTG